GCAACGGCGGCAGCAGCCGCCGCCGCCCGACATGAAGAGCTACCTGTGGTCGCGCTACCGCGAGGCCAAGCGGGCGAGCAAAGGTGAGCGCGGCGCCGGCGGCAGAGGGCCCCGCGCGGCTGCTTCGCCTCCCTCCCCTGCGCCGGGAGCCGCTCCGGGAAGCGCGGGCCGTGCCCGGCTGCGCCGCTTGCCCCGGCGCCGCCGCGAGCGGAGCAGAGCAGCGCGGCGGGGTGTCCGCTGCCCCGGTGCCCCTAGGCCGCCGCGGGGCTGTTCATGGGCGCCGCGCGGTGACCTCGCGGCGGGGAAGCCCCGTCCTGCAGCCCAGGCCCGGCGCGGCCGACGCGGCGGCGTTCGCGCCGTTAGAGCCGTCCGGAGCAGCGCGTCCCAGGGACGCTGAGGCGGGAAGCGGTGCCGCCCGCTTCCCACCTGTAGGCTGTGGAGATTGGCACCCAGAAGCTGGATAGGGCAGATTGTGGGAATGCTCGTTCTCCTTGGAGAGCCCCAAGAGGGGCGCCTTCAAGGAAGCAATGTGTGTCTGATGTCATTTTGGAGAACACGTTCATCTCGTGTGCCTGAGCATCTCCTAAAAACATACTTTATATCATCCCATGTCTGAAGGGTCTTGGGCATGAACCAGGGCTTCGCCGAGCTGGTAGTTTGAAAGAATAAAATGGCAATGGCATTTCACAGATAAATAAGACAGATAAAACTTCCACTGTGTCCAAGGCTGTCAAAGAGTTCTCCGAGGCTTTGGAGGGTGAGATAAAGCCAAAGGAGGAGGGGAAGAGGTACCTTTTAATTTGAGTTTTTGTTTCTTTTCCAGTTTTGGGGAGTAACTTTTTCCAAACGACACCTGAATACAACTTCAGACGGAGGCTAGAGCTCAGGGTAGTAACAGCAAGAGAAATGGAGCCCGTGAGCAGCTGTGGGTTAGGGGAAGACGAGTGTTGCTAACACAGCCCAGGGTGTTTTTGTCTGTTACCACCTAACTGCCAAAGCGCGTTCGAATATCTGGCGTTTCTTTTTGTTGTGCTGTTAAGATGACAAACGTGTCCTGATTTTGGCCTAAGGATTAGAGCACTTGGAATGCTGTCCACCAGCCAAAATATTTAATAGCTACATTTTGCTTATGCTCTCCCTGTTTTCAGGCAGCCATTAAGTCATTTTATTTATATGAGATGTCTTCATTTCTCAAGCAGTTGTTGATTCAACAGGCTGCACAATTGACACTAGAAGAAGTGTTTAAAGTGCAATTTAAAATGAATGTTGTAACATGATTTTGGTAGTTCATCTTAAACTCATGACTTCTTGTAGTTAATTAAATTACTAATGGCCTTTTTTAATAGAATAAGAAACTTTTCCATAGTAGTGGTGCATTACATTGCATTTTAATATTTTTCATGATATTCAAGTGAGCATAATGTTGGTCTATGGTATTACCATAGTCAGTGTCTGACAAAAGTAGAAGCTTTTGGTTTGACTCAGCTTATCTTATTAAATCATCCGAAAGGCTTGTTTGATACAGCTTTCCACCTCCTATTAAGTGTGAAAGGCGTCTGGGGTCCCTTTCAGAGAGCAACTCTCTTTCTGAGATGAACTTTCTCTGCAAGTTTCTTAGTATTTTATCTCCTTGTCAACACTGCAGCAATGGAATTGAGACGCTGCTTTTACAGAAGAAATGGAATTAAGGCACTGCTTTTAATGCTTTTTTCCCCTCCTTTCTATGAATAGGACAGAATACGGAAAATTATCTTTCTCACAAATCTCAAGTACTGGGACCTTCCTGCCTGTTGAGTTTGTTTCTTCCCATGGTAGAGCATTCAGTTCATTTGTCCTTAGAACTAAAGGTGTTCAGGTGCACTTGGTGGCTTCTTTCTAAACTTATATGTAGAAGGTAACAAAGCAAAGCATATTCCCTTTAAAAATTTCCCTTCCTACTACAGATTTAAGAGGAAAACTCTTCCTCACTCCCAGAGAAGGCTTGATTGGAAGATCATAACTAAATCAGAGAAAGTTAGTGTATGGGAAGGAAGGAAAGGAGCACTTCTTGTTTTGTGATTCCAGGAAGGCAAACGCTGGCTCCCTGATACTGCTCTTCCAAGTTTTCTAAACAAGAAATACAGACATTCCTAATACTAATGTTGCTTTGGTCTTAAAATTACTTAATATATCATGGTTATATGTAATGGTTGAGAAAAGGAAATTAAAACAAAAAGCTCCATTCTATCAGTTGTGGTTCTGGCACAGAAGCTGGCCAAAATAATGGGAGGAGAAAATTCATTGTCAAAATGAAGACATAAAATAAGAATGTGTTAATGGAGATGGCAAAAATGCATATATTTGATCTGGGACTCCTTGTTGATCATGATCCTGATACGTCTACCCCCTGACTTTCCTAACAGAAGYGCTCTTTACACAAAAGCTGGGGGTCACAAAGTCAAAAGAGGGGACAGCACTTTCAATAGGAACAAATTGCTAAGGGTTAGCTGGTGTGGTTATCGTGAATCAGTGTGACAGTTTCCATCAACGTTTGTCTGTTTAGAAGTTGCTAATGTTTTTTTCTTTATTTACTTAGGCTATCAGGCTGGCATAACACATTCTGTTTTTCTTTTCCTGTTCCCAGAGTTAGTTCCTTCAATTATGAGTAACATGCTGAATCCTGACGCAATTTTTTCAAACAATGAAATGAGCCTGTCAGACATTGAAGTTTATGGCTTTGATTACGACTACACATTGGTCTTTTATTCTAAACATCTACACACGCTGATCTTCAGTGCTGCACGAGACCTTCTTGTTAATGAGCACCGGGTGAGTAAAATGAATATATAGCAGTAAGTCTTGATGAAGAAGTGTAATGAATAATTTCTACCTGACGGGCTCAGCTCATCTCTTCATGCCTTGGTCCCTGTCCTAGTTCTTGATGGCAACATGGTTCATTCAGGCTACAGTTTTGGGCAGACCAGTGCCTTTTCTTTAACCTAACTGCCTGAGTCATCCTATCATACAAGAAGCCTCAAGGTTGATGGCACCATGTCTTACGCGTTGCAGAGACTGCAATGATTAATTTTCATAAGGAATATTTTTAGCCTGACTTCTTAAGGGGAAGAGGGACATTGAATTGTGCTGTGCACCTGCCAGGTGCTCTGTGTCGTTTGGACATCTCAGCTCAGTTACCTCCAGGGGCCGAGGTCGGAAAGATGCTACCTTCCATGGTTAGGTGCAGCCCCCTAAGTGAGTGTTTAGCTGTACAGGCCTCTAAAGGGGAGCACTGACCTGCTGCCTGGCCAAGGTGCCTGTTTGTATTGGTGTCCGGTCGACGTCTCAATAGCTTGGAACTGGTAACTGCAGATGAGGGATGTGAGAAGTTACTGTTTGGCAGGAAACAGGGAGGAAGATGGGAGAACTCCGGGAACATAGAGAAAAGTGAAGGTGTCACAGCAAAAGTGACTGAAGAAAATGTGGAGGTTGATGCACTGTAGGAGCTGTAGAAAATTAAAAGACAAAAATCTATAGGTTAGTTTAGTTAAATTACTTTTGTACAATGTAAATGTGAATGAGTGGTGCTATTCTACTTTCATGTTTCAATCCAAAGGTTAAGAGCTATTTATAAACATCTATAAATATCTCTGGAGGAGCAAACAAAACCTCATGGGCTCTGCAATCATACACCCCCCTGAAATTTTGTCATGTCTCAATAGCAATTTCCATAGAGCACGTAAATAAACTTTGTTAATGCTATTTGGTTCTTGTAAAATCAAGCAATATGGTAACAGAAACAGTCAARCTTTAGTATTGGAGACAACCATTAGAACAGTGCTCATGTCTTTACTATTTGATTGAATGCAGGTAATAATACCTTTCCAAATTTTTGTCTCAATTAGAATCTCGTTTTCTAGTGAATGAAACTATAGTCACTTTTTGAGACTGCTTGAGATTATAATTTCCTGCTGTAAGTGATAAGCTATAGTTTTCACTGAAGCTAACCATTGTAGCTGCTTATGGTACTAATGCTTTTCTTGCCTTTAGCATTAGGAAATGTCTTTAGATAGTATTGCCTGTTCTGACCTAGAGTTGGTCAGAAAGGTGGCCAATTTCGGTCATGGCAGTGTAATCCAGTTCATCAGAATTGCAAAATACAGTGTGGGAAGCAAGGGATTTTGAAGTATATCTAARATAATAAATATCAATTTATTGATAGTCTCAGAGGTAGCAGCAACTATTGAATCAAAGCTGTTTTGATCTTGGGTTTGTGCTTTCCTTCTGCCTGGGCCTTTTGCTCCCTTATCTGGGCTGCTGTTTCAGACCCAGATACCTGCGTTCCTACCAGAAACAGTGGAGGGTGATCAGAGTGCAAGCTTCATCATTGCTTTGTTTGGTTTATGGGCCAAGAGAGACAACTTCTTTTTTGGCCCGCATTCAAAAAGGTATCCTTCAGTCAAAATAAACTGAGGTGAGAGTGCCAAGCTTGCCGAAATTCGAAGGAGTTGATTAAATTTTCCTTGTTCATACTTAATATGGCCATCTAGGGCATGTGTGGTACAATGTAGTCTCTTAATTGATTGGGTGCTGTGCCCTTTCTTTATATTTTTTCATTGTGTCCCTTTCCTACTTCACGTCACTGGTCCAATCTACACATCTTACCCTCAGTTTTAGGCTTTTTAATGCTGTTCTTCATTCAAATGTAGTAGTCTACTCCATGTTTTCTGGCATGAGTGGTAARGAATACAGCTGAGAAGCCAGGAGAGGCATCTGTTTTCTCTGCTTCTGGATGCGTGTGCACAAGCACAGTCAGTAGTGGTTGACTCACAGGGCAAGTCCTGTTCAGCATGGATAAAAACTTATTGGACAACTAGAGGTTATGTTTTTGTGTGTGTGTGCTGATAGTCAGAGCCTCTCTTCAGTCTGTATATTCTACTTTTATTTTTTCCCCAAAGGCATAGAAGTTGGCTCTGTATGAGGGGAGTCTTCCATAGAGAAGGTGGAGAACATGCCTGAAATGAATTTGCCACCTTTTAAGACTCTTCAGTAGAGGGTGTGAGGGAATGGAGGATTGATCACCTTCAGTTAGCTCTTTTTTTTTTTTTTTCTTTAAGTTTTCTCTACCTTTGTCTTACCTGTAAACAATCTAAGAGAAGATTGAGTGAGTAGTTGATGGAAAGTCAAGAATCTGAGGAAAGAGAGAATACTCAACACAAATTAATACGGACACATCACTGAACAAAGAGGCATTAGCAGATGCTCTCTGGAGTACAATCTAATGAGATTATGCATGTATGAACCCAGGCAACAAGTATTTTTGAAAAATAATCTGTGAAGATCCTTCTTCAGCATTGAAGAATGTGTTTGTAAGGGGTAAGCTTATAGGAGGAAAAGAGCACAGGAAATGGAACATATACAAACGTGCCTTAGTATATGATTAGAAAGTCGGTTTAGTTTCCAGCTTATAAGTGATAACAGATAGCGCTGCAGATTCTTTGTTTTTCTTACAGCTGTAGGCGTAAAGCAAAATCCTCAAGGCTGTTCAATAAACAAAGCCACGTTGCCACGTTGCATGAGAAGTACATATATGTGAAAGTGTCCTGCCTGGGCACTGTGCCTGATTAGCTTTTCCATTCTTTCTTCACGCAAAGAGGGGAGAGGGAAACTACATCCTGTTACTAAAAGAGAGGAGTGCTGTTTATTTTTATACGTACCTGATTTTCTGGGACAACAGCGGTGAATCGGTGGTGCAGGAGCTCCCAGAAGTTGGGCCTAGTTGGGCCCAACTAGGGCTCCCAGTAGTTGGGCCTACATTGGCTCCTAGTTGGGCCAGCGTAATTCATTCCTTGTGCTRCTGTGCCCTGTGCCAAACAGGGGTGCAACCTCAGTAGATACAGGTCTGACAGTGCAGCGTAGACCCATGGTTAAAGTGCACTTGTTTGGGGATGTAACATTGTGGGTTATTTGTAGATTTGAGTTTATGTCTTAATGGCGTTCTGCTTTCCCTGGGAACCTGGTCAGGCTGTRAAGTCTTTGCAGGCAAGGATTTCTTGTTAATCTGTAAAGTCATATGTCGGGCAGTACAGCACACGAGATGCAAAGTTCCTTGATGAGAGGCTGCAAACACCAACTCTGTTTTTGGGGTTTGCTGTAGGTGCAGCTGCACTGCCATAGCTGTGCTGCAGCTTCACTCAGGCTGCAGCCCTCAGGTTTGTGAAAGTTTCTTAAACTCTAATGGGCAGCTTCCAGTGTAGCAGGTAATCAGGTCATATTTCCAAAGGCAGATTTCAGGCTTTTCAGGTTTCACCTGATCCAGGGGCCTTCATTGTCTTTGGAAGCAGTGGAAGGAGTTACCTTTTTCTCTCAGGTTAGGCCCGTGCTCTGAATTGCCTTTCATGGGAGCCTCTTTCTTTTCCTTTCCTAAATGGGGATCTTGGCTTCTCAAGGTCATATTAGCTTTTATGAATATTTTCTTCCTTTCTCCCCATCTGTGTTTATTTGCAGTGCATTATATTTTAAGTGCCCCTGAGGTCTACATTTCGTACATGAGAGTCTGAAATCAGGATTATGATCCACATTTAGAGAATCCAAATAGATGGCTTTACTTTTTTCCTTTCATGAAAATGCCAGGCATTCTTTTGCTCCCACTAGCATCAACAACATCATATTGATTTTTCTTACCATAGAAATAAGTGGCAAATTATAGGCAACTCTGCAAATAAAAAAAAATTAAATTAAAAAAAATAAAAAAAGGAAAATGAGAAGTGTGGATTCAAGCCTTTTACTTCCTGCAGTATCAATTTCTTGATTTGCTTATATGTTAGGATTTTAACTAAAACCATTGCCTTTTTTTCCTTAGTATCCTGCGGAAATAAGAAAATATGATTATGATCCCAATTTTGCAATAAGAGGACTTCATTATGATGTGCACCGGGTATGTATAAATATTTTTTTTAGGTCTTTCAATTTCTTTCTCATTGAAAACTTGATTTTTTTTTTTTTGCTTGCTAACTCTTAGTATAAGGCGTTTTTGTATTTTGTCTTTTTGATGCCCCACTAGTAATACAGCTTCAGAGTACAGAAGAACAAACCTAAGCAGGCCAATGTCATTAGAAAAGGATATTTCTTCCTGGCCAATGTCAGATCATTGGACAGTACATTTTCCTAGTTATTAGTAAGCCTCAGATAAAAGCCATTGATAAATATTTTGAAAGTTTATAAAAGAAGTGTAGGTAAAGATGATCAGCCATTCTCGACATAGAAATTGATATTTTTGAATTATTTCATGTCAGATTAACATGATAAAAGATGTGTATTTTTTTCCTCTTCCCTCTTTTCTTTCAGGCTTTATTAATGAAGATTGATGCTTTTCATTATATTCAGCTGGGGACAGTGTACAGGTAGGTAAAGTTATTGTCAGTTTGTGATGAGAATGTGTACCTGTTATTTTTCTTTGTCTTCTAGTGCCTTTCTTGCTGTTTATTTTTTTTGCATTAGAAACAGTACTGAGAAGCACAGGCAGGAGTGAGCCCTGCTGCCTGTCTTTGCACTGCTGTGTACATGCACCCTCACACATCTAGTGGCTGATAGAGCCGGTTCCCAGCGCGGAGCTGGCCCGTATGGAAAGCTGGTGGTCCCATAGTGCTGACTCATGTTGTTTCCAGCTGTTAAATTGTGCTGAAAGACATCTAAAAATACCCTGATGACTTCCCTGCTCTTGCTTGCAAAGTAAACAATTGTCACAGGTCTCCTGTTAATGTAACTGCTGGTGTTGCACGGACACAATCCTTCTTCAGCCCCCAAAGGCCTCTTCCCAGTTAGAGTAATGAGCACAAAGTAATTGCCTGTATATGAGGATATAACAAATTAAACTCTTATACTTTTAAAATAAAGGCTATTTAGTGAGTATGATGCAGGCTCTGCTTTATTAGCACTTTATTGAGCAAGTTTTCAAATTAGGATGTTCTTGGGTGTGTAGGGTGAATGATGTAGTCCCATAGTTACCTTTGGAGCTGAGTTACTTAAGAGGCAGCTAGGTCAGTCCTGAATATTGGAAAAACATCGAGTTGTTAGAATAAAGGTTAGCCAAAGTCACCAGAGATGTGTGTATGACYAGAGGCTTGTGATGGAAATGCTGTGATCAGCAGGAGTGAAGTGTGAATGGAAATGTGTGGGGATGAAAGCACAGGAAGAAGTGACAGAAGAAGGGGTGAAAGACGGGCAGGCACGGAGAGCACAGGGGCAGCTGGTCCTGACGAAAGCAGCACGTCTGCCTGCTGGAGGGAGAACAGGGAGTACCTTGGAGGGAGAGGGCAGRTGGGGCCGTGCTCCGGATGGAGCTGGAGCAACACCTGGCAGCGTGGGACAGGCCCAAGGGGCAGGAGCTGCTGGCCGTCAGCACCTGGTGAGTGCTCGGGAAGTCACGAGGAGAATTGCTGAAACCCGCTGAGCAGTCGCTTCCCCTTGTCCTCCATGTTTCCTGGACTGTGATCCTGGACAGGCCGCTTGCTCTGGTGTCTCGGTGCTTGGCAGCGTGAGGGAGAAACTGTCCTCTCACTCGTACACCTTCTCCATCTGGTTTAAAGCAGATGCACTTTCCCTCTGATCTGTCCTAATAGTGAGCTTAGCTATGTTAGAGCGTATCTCTAGTTCTCAGTTTTAACCTTGCACCTGCTAAGTATGTTGATTGTCCTACTGAAAGTAGCAAGAAAAACTTGCCCAAYGACATCCATCGATGCCTGGAATGGGATAAAATAGGTTTGTGTTTATACAGCTGGACTGTGAACTGTAAAAAGACATTGAGTCTTTTGGCAAAACTAATCTTCAGCTTTGTGTACAGAGTCTTCCCTGTTGTGAGGATTTCACAAATATCCCTTGTCCTCTGCTGATTTGTGCTTCAATAACTCCTCATCTACAACAGTCTTCTCTATTAGTATTTAAATTCCACTTGGCGTAGCTGTCTGCGGGCTGGAACATGAGTCAGGCCTCCCCTATTCTGATTGTAATTCTTGGTATACATTTAATGTTTCAGTGACATTTCTCTTTGTTTCCTGCTGGTGGGTAACACTGAATAGTTGTGTGTGGTGTTGCTAATTTCTTTTTAATATAGAGATATATTTTGTGTATGAGACTTGTGGATGCTGGGTCCTGTGTACAATAGCACAGAGCTACGTACAAGTCAATATAGCACTGAAATAAATTGAGTAAAATAGCGACTCTGCTGTTCCAGCAGTTCTGGGGAAGCTCATGCCCTTGTGCTGCCAAGGGAGCATAAACTCATACCRCTTTAAGAACTGGATTTATTCATTGATCTTTTAAAATGCATCATCCTTATGTAAGAAAGTGCTGCAAAAAAATCTCATGCAGCTTTGGAAAAAGAAATTGGATATCTGTTTTTCATTCATGTTCTTAAATTTTAAGCAAAGTGTCCCCCCCCTCCACCCTACTTCTGTGCCCTTTGATGAGGGTGACTTCTGCAGTGTTTTAGATGTACCAGTACAATATGCTTGATACTGTAAATAATAATTAAAAAAAAAGAAGTCCTGAAACCAAAGACATTGTTCTCATATTAGCTAATATGAGAGTAGTTAATAAMAAAATTTGGACAGATGATGTCTCTCCTTCTATTCTCATCAGTTGTTGTTATGCTTTTATATTTTAATTGTCAGCAATCCTTTTAATGGTCAGCAATCCTTCACATAATCCAGAATTTTTGGGAGTTTAGCTGTTGATAGGTTTTAAGATAAATTCTTGTTGTTTGCTTAAAGGTTATGTGTRTGTATTTCTCTTTCCCTTAGCTTTTCAAGGTCATGCTGCAGAATAATCTGGTTTAAACACTATCACATCATCTATGCTTTATGAAACAAAGGCAGAGTGGGGAATTACTTTGTGTTAAGCTGGAAGTTCTAACTGCTTATAAACCCTTGAGGCAGGGTTTCAATGGAGACTAATTAGGGTTTGCATTTTTTTTTTTCCTTAAGAAAGGCAAAAGAACTTAAAATTGGAATGTGTTCCCTGAGCGTCAGCTTGTTAAAATGTTATCTGTCTTGTAAGGAAAAGCACTGTCTTAACTTACACGCTGTCTTAACTTGCACACCAAAGTGCTCTAAGACATTATTGGTATTTTAAGAAGCTCAAATGCAAGTGTTAATCTGTCAGGCTTCTGTTCAGTAATTACTTGAAAATTTTAATGTAACTTTTGAACTAAAGCTCATGCTGTTTGCCAGAGGCCTCAGCGTTGTCCCGGATGAAGAAGTCATTGCAATGTATGATGGTTCCCACGTCCCCTTGGAACAAATGAGTGACTTTTATGGAAAGGTAAAAACATGAACTACTCTAAAAACCTATAGGGAAGGCTTGATTTTTATGGTTTTTTTTTTTTTGACTCACATTTTAATCTTGCTCCTAGTAACTGGTATATTTGTCAATATATGATTTACTTAGGGTGTTGGATATCTGGTCCATTTAGCAGCTGAAGCTGTTCAGAACGTGTCTGGCAGTTGTTGTGGGGTGCTTTGCTCTCCAAGGAGCTATTCCTACTTTGATCTAAACCAGTGTGCAGTCTCGAGGAAAGATGCCCAGTTGCTCTCAGTGTACGCAGTCCCCCTCTTCCTCAAGTCTTTGGTTTGTGTTTATGCCTGTGTAGTGAGCTCAGCCTAACTTTTGTGAAAATTAACTGTAGCTACAGCTTTGACAGACTGTAAATCTTTTCTTCCGTTCCTGCTTCAGTTTTTGTAAAATCTTGCATTTTCATTATTTCTTGCTCAAGGAGGCAGGATGTTCTGCAGCCCTAGTCGTTATTTCATTTACTTGAAAAGCGAACAAAAAACCCACTCCTCAGCTCGCCCATTTTAATACCCACTGAGCTTTACTTGTAGCAGTGTAGATGTCCAATGAAGAGGTCTCCCAAGCTTTTCATTGACTTTTAGCTGAATGCTAGATTTTATATAGTTTATGAGTTAATAYGCATTTAAAAAAACCCTCAATGGTAAATACGAAAGTAAAGGTAAGTATTTTGGGCATTATTATATTGAAAGCCCATTTAGTTCAGAGTCGAGAACCAATGAAAATAGTGTTGGCAGAAGGTGAATATGTGCAAAGTAGCAGAAGTTTGAATGTTAAGTAAACAAACATTCATTTAAGTTCACTGAATAAACAGAAAGGTATTGTAGTCCTGAGAAATGTCTGAGCTTTTTCCTYTTTTCCCCTCTCTCTTTCYTCTCCCTCTGCAGAGCTCGCAGGGAAACACAATGAAGCAGTTCATGGATATATTCTCCTTGCCGGAGATGACACTACTCTCGTGTGTAAACGAACATTTTCTGAAGAACAACATAGACTACGAGCCTGTTCATCTGTACAAAGATGTCAAGGTATTAACTCGGAAGTAGGGTAAAYGTTTGTGAATCTTCTCCACAAGCACTTCAGGAAGCTGCAGCCTGATGTGCCAGCTTCAGTCAGATACCTGAGCATTAGTTTTTGTATAGAATTATTCCTGCTGTATTTCTCTTTGCTCAGCATTACCGCTGTTTTGGAAGCTCCRTAGTGGGATTTGGTGAGAATTCGTAGGACTTTAAGCTATTTAAATACCAAAATGGCAGCACGTCTGTCTTAAAGGAGTCTGGTACAGAGCCAGCTTAAGGGGAGCTGCCAAATGCCTTCAGAGCTCCTGTAGTTCTTTTGTTTAAGCATTTAGCTTCTCTCATTTGTTCATAAATCTTTCTTGTTTAAGTGACAGGTTATTTAGGAGTGATTGTAATCTGAAAACTTTACTTTTTTTCTTTTGCTAKAGGAAGGGAAGGTGCTTTGCTCCAAAGGTCATTAGAAATCCACGGCAGCTCTGCTTTTGCTGAGAGYTTTCACCCCACTTTACCCTTCTGAGCTGTTTTGCAGCCATTACACAAGGCCTTCCCTATTCTTGTACTRTTCTGCACTTGCCCAAAGTCTGAAGTTATTTTCCTGAAAGATAAACTAACTCTTTGTCTAGTTGTGACRTCTACAGAATTAGTAGCGTATTATGTTTCTTTAAAGCTGAAGGTGTAATCCAGAAAAAGTAATTGTTATAAAAGCAAATTGCTATAATTGCAGTGGGCATGGTTTCTATAACAGAAAAGTGTTTTTTTATTTTTTTATTTCTTTACCGCTCTGTTGCTTTCCTGACAGGATTCAATCCGGGATGTCCACATCAAGGGAATAATGTACAGAGCAATTGAAGCAGATATTGGTAGGTATTGATGAGATCACCTCTCAGCTTGTTTATTGGTGTTTTTGTTTGTTTGTTTTCTYCACAGTGTAATGACCTTTATGGCTTCTTTATATAAGATTGCAAATTCTAAATTTTAAAGCTTGAAAGAGKTATTCCTTTGTGTTTAAGGTGTTCTTTTAAAGCCGTAAGCTAGTGCTCTGAATCATTGACTGTACACAAGAAAATACTCTCTCAAATAGTTGCTGCTACTGTTAATATTTTCTTTTCCCCATCCCCCCAGAGAAATACATCTGCTATGCTGAACAAACTCGGGCAGTGCTAGCCAAGCTGGCTGATCACGGCAAGAAGATGTTTCTCATCACAAACAGTCCCAGCAGCTTTGTGTGAGTGAACAGTTRCCGTTCAGCTAAAGACTGTAAGGGGGGAGGAGGATGAGTTATTGATGTGATTTGTATTGATATTGATACTTCCCTTCTGTTATGCCCCACTGTTAATATCTCTCTGTTCTTTTTAGGGACAAGGGCATGAGGTTCATAGTAGGCAAGGACTGGAGAGACCTCTTTGATGTTGTCATTGTACAAGCTGATAAGCCAAACTTTTTCAATGATAAGCGAAGGTGGGTATTTAGTAAAGAACAATTCAAGCCATTTATTCCATACAAGGCTATAGAGCATGTTATGAAATACTTTAATGCAATCTAAAATTCTATTTGATGAAATTCCTTTTAGTGTTGTGACAGAACACAGAGACTCCCAATTTTGAAGTCCGGATAATAGCATTGCTTTCTTGAGAAAGTGGCAGTAGCTATTACAGGCTTTYACAGATTGAGTTATTGCCAAAGAACTCTTTTAACATGTTTAACCTGAATTTTGGTGAAGTTTATTCCTTTCCTACTAAATTAGAGAAATTTTGGTACCTTTTGGAGTTGGTCTCCATTTCCGGAAACATTATTTATTACTTCTGTTTTGGGCTAGTTACAAGAAGATATATAGAGTAGACTGGCTACTAGGCTGGAGTCTTTCTGCTGCTTCTTCAGTTTACTCAACACATTTATGATGTGTGTGCTCTATATTGACATTTAAAAAATACCCCTTCCTTTATGCCTATATATGACATGAGGTTGACATAGAGAGGAGATTTTTTTATTTTATTTTTTTAATTATCATATATTTTTTGGAAAGAACTTCTGGCTTTTTTCCCCCTCCCCTTCCTCAGATGTGTAAAAGCCTTCTGCTTTTTGCCTATAAAATGAGGTCCTGAGCATAATATTCTTTTGTTCTTGTCATGTTCGCTTCTTCCTTAATGACAGACCATCAACATTGCTCTTTCTGTCTGGGCAGGCTGGTTCCCTGTCTTACCTCTGCACAGTTGTCWTACTCCTAGAGGTGTCATTGATATCCTAGATAGAAATACCTTGTTTCCCTGGCTAAAGCTGATGGAGCTTTGCTTTTCCAGGCTTCTRCAAAGTGTTCACATGTTATAGGGCATGTTTTTCATTTAAAAGTTGATAATTTTAATAGTAGAATTCCAGTTTCCTCCTAAGAAGTGACAGGATTTCTACAGGAATGTGACAGTTCTGTTCAATTCTCTTCTAGACCTTTTCGGAAGGTAAATGAAAGAGGAGTGTTGCTTTGGGACAAAATTCACAAATTGCAGAAAGGCCAGATTTACAAACAGGTACGACTTCACTAAGCTTTCATTTCAGTTTAAATCTAATGCTTAAATCTAATGCTTATTCCCTAGAACGTAAAGCTTTTTTAGCTGACATAAAGACTTTATAAAACTAAATGTGCTAAGAGGATTATTTTCATAATTAAATAATAGTGCAGATTCTCTGCTGGTAATGTATGTATGTGGTTTTCTTACCTCCTAAGGTGCACATTGACACATAATGATGTTACTGAAATTGCCTGTAGAACCTTGGTTTTGTAATACTTAAATTGAGAGCCATATTAAAATATTTTAGATGTGTGTTGACTGTTTATTAGTGTCTGTGAATGTGCAAGTTAAACACTACAACCTTGTGCAAAATGCTGTTTCTGCAGGGTAACCTCTATGAGTTCCTGAAGCTAACGGGCTGGAGAGGCTCGAAGGTTCTGTACTTTGGGGATCATATTTACAGTGACTTGGCGGTAAGTGGTTCACCTGCCATTAAATAGCATAAAAGATGAGATTTTGTCGTCTTTTCCCCTCTCTCCAACCCCCATTCAATATAACACTCCCTCATTTGAGATTTCTAAACGTGACAGAACTCGTGTTGGTCATGAAGTCAGAGTGCTTCTCTCGCAGCAAAGAGAATTGATCCCACTGAAGGCTGACCATATTTTCCACCTTACTTGTAGCACTTAACTTGTTTACAAACTCAGCCCAAGTTCGTATTCCTGATGCAGGTACTGACTGTGCCAAATGTAGTGGGGCACCAACATAGATCCTAACAAACAGGATATGGCAGAAATGGATGCCATTTACTACCAGCCATAATAAGAGCTGAATCATCTTCTGTTTTGAATGACAGGAGGGGATCTTCCTGCCGCTAATGCTAAACTTTCTTCTCAAGATCTTACTCTAATCCTTAGTCCAGCTATCCAAGCTTTTTCATACTACTTTACAAAAAAATGTACTGTTAATTATTACCTCAAAATAAGCTGCCACTGCTCAAGCCTTTTGTAATTGGCTGCTTTGAAAGCCTGGTAACATTTTCYTTTCACACGAGTGACCGTCAGCCTTCTTAAAGCTGGGGTATCATGTTTCAACGGAGGAAAATGTCAATGTTTTTCCCTTGCGAAGAAAATAATTAAGTATATGCAATGGAATTAAAAATAAATAAAGAAACAAATGTAGGTGCTTCGGTGGAGTGAGAGCTGAAGGCAGAGGGCAGCAGTTCTGTCCTCCTTGGACGTGATGGAGCAAAGAGCCCAGGTAGCAGCTGCCTCAGCTGCTGGTGAGGAGAGGTTTCCCCGCTGCTGGTGAGGAGAGGTTTCCCCGCTGCTGGTGAGGAGAGGTTTCCCCGCTGCTGGTGAGGAGAGGTT